ATTTTCATCAAATGGTGTCGCTTTCGCTTTAGCTAACACTAACTAATATTATTTAATCGAATTTTCCTCCTTTTCACACTGTCAGTTTTCGATCGGATGCCAGTTGTTTACAAGTGGAATGATATGCAAAATGCTATTAGTAATTCTATTTCTGCATAACATTTCGATACAAAATATTATTTTTATTTTGTCCTAGTTTAAACCAAATTTTTCTTCTACTAGCTTATTTATTTTTTTTTAAATAATTTTTTATAATAATTTCATCAGTATATATGTGGCAGTTAGTTTGAAATTGAACTATATTTATTAAATTTTCTAGTATTGCAACTATTTTGCTATTGCATTATCTAATTAAAAGAATTGTTTGTTAAAAAGTTGGGCAATATTTCAACCTAAATTACTTTTTCGATATGTATGGTGAAATTTATACTTCATTTAATTTAACCATTTTTTTAAAAAGGAATTTTAATTCAGAATTTACTTCACATAAAAACGAAAAATAAGATAAGGTTTGTTCAATTTATAAACAATAATGATTAGCTATGCTAAAAAAAATACACCTTATTCTTACGTCAATATTGAATATAATTATAAAAAAAAATAAAATAATGTGCATTTTACTCTAGAATAATACCAAAACATCATAATTATTGAGTAATAAAAGTATTGAAGCGATAAGTTAACATAATATTTTCAAGTTTATTTTTGAATTATATTAACATTTATTTTTGCAAATATGATGGAAATATTTGGTTATTGATAAAATAATTTAAAAAAATCAAGTTCCTAAAAAAGAAGAGAAAAGTTGCAAAGAAAGAAAGAAAGATTATTGAAGTGAAAAATTAAATAATTTCATCAAAATAATACACATTACAAACTTTAATTTATGACAATATTTTGCACAAAATTAAAGTTATTATTTAAAATTTTCAAGACTTTTAGAATTTAACCATTCTTTTTTGATAAACAAGGTACAATTTTTTTAGTGATATAGCTTCAAAATAGGAACGTATGACAAAGTGATAATTACACTTAATTATATTTAATTGATACTTTTGCAGTAAAAGAAGCATTTCGTAATTCTTCACAAATTTTAAAATTGAAAAAAAATCTCAGATACAAATATTTCATCAATTTTTTTTGTTGCTAATTACTAATAATATTAATTTATGTGATATGGAGAAAAAAAAATGTTTACAACAAATTTCGTTATTTAATGATTTTAAAAACTTTAGCGAATAATTATAGCATCAGTTAATTGTTGATGTGTCTTTGATATTTGAATTTTTTCATTTTTCTTTTTTTCGAACAAAAAAAAATTTTTTTCCTCAATTCGTTGGCTGATTGGTAATAGCAAAGCAGTTCTCTTTCTTTTTTGTTTATCTTCAAAAAGATGATAAAGTTAGTGCTAATATTGTCAAAATTGAAACGTATTTTGCATTTTAAAAGTTTATGCTACAAGTTGTATGAAAAAGTTTAAACTGCATGCATGTATAAACAAAAATGAAATATTCAGAAGCATTCTGAAATAATAAATCTTTTAATATTGAAAGATTTAATTAATTAATTTATAATTTATATATATGTAGTAAAACATCATAAAATGTCTTTTATGAAATAATATTAATCAGTTTTGAAATTTTGCATAGAAAATTTTAAAGAATGCTTAATTCGCAAAAACATTTACTCATTATCAAAGATATTCTATAAAATAGGTGAAAAAAAGAAAGATTATAGTTTTTGAGCTATAATTAACTAGCAAATGATAGGAAAAAAAGAAAATGGAATAGATTAATGAGCAGATAGTGATGGGAATAAAGAAAAAAAATCAAGAAAAATGAGCAAATATTGTTGTTGATAATTTAAACATACTGAAATAATGCTTATTAAATAGTAGAAAAAGTGTGGTTGGGAAACACAAAACATTATGGCATTATTATATCAACAAATATGTAAATGAAAAAATAAAAAATAAATAAATTAGTTAATTATATATGCATCTTTTGTATACATGTGTGTGCGCATATATATATATATATATATGAGTGATAATGTATCAGTTAGTGAGTACATTCAAATATTTAATTTAATAAGTTCAAATAATCATTAATTAACATTTTCATGTCAATTCGTCATAACATTGTTTTTTTCTCACACAATCGGAGTGATATTAGGAATAATTTTTTCCTGTGACTAATATTTACCACCTTTAAGAGCACAAATAACATAGATGATATTATTCCTTCCCTTTCTTTCACTTTTCTCTTTTTTCTTTTCTTTTTTTTTTTGTGGTTAAATTATAGCTTATCATCTCACAGACCTTTTCAATCATTTAGTTGTTAAATGTATCGACCAACCATTGATGCACGCTAAAGTCGGCGGGTGTATTGAATTGTACTTTCTAACATTAGCCTAAAAATTTTTTCCGTTTTAATTCATTCATATTAGATGCATTTTATCGTATGATTTCAAATATTTCCGGTTCCATTTTATATTGATTAAACACATATATATATTCATATATGATAAAGTAACGTTATTATTATTTCTTTCACTAATTCCAGAAGAAATATTTTTGATCACTAAGTCTTTAAATGCTACAACAAATTTCGACAAATGCCTAATGTGTTTTTTTAATCTTCTTTTAATTTGGAGTAAATGCTTTATACTTTAAATCTTTTAGCTTCAACTAATGTGACACTAACAATTGTTTATTTATAATTGTGTCTTTGTTGAAGCATCAAATCTTTTTCATGCAATTAATTCATATAATAAGGGAGATTTAGTTGAATGCGCAAGTAGTAGCAGTTTTGCATAATAAAAATTCTATTTTAAAAATAAAAAATTGGTCCATATTCAATGAACTAATTAATACAAACAAAATTCGAGGTGGAATTTAAATGGCGTCAATTAGCTTTTTTTGAAAACGAAATCTGAAATGAACTATTAAGAGATTTTTCCCATTCTTTTATAATTTTTAATGATTGTTTTTTCACCCAAGGAAGAAGGAAAACAATAAAAAAAAAAAGGATTTCCTGAAGTTTTTTAAATAGTCTCTTCGTTTTACTTATTAGTAAGCGACATTGTGTCAAACAATGTGTCGTCATAAATTTTCAAGATGATATAATGCTTCTTTCAGTTAACATTTTACGAGGCTAATTGTACCACACTTCTTTCGTTATAATAATTTAAGAGATGTCATCGTAACTTTTCATTATATAAAACTTTTCTATCAACTTCACATTCATTCAGATGTTATTCTATCACTGTATTGTATTCTATTACCGTAAATCCATGCACTGTTTTACTGTATACCACAGTAAATTCATATATTGACGTTCTACTACTGTACTGTATGTCCAGATTATGGTGCTCTACTACCATAAATTCAATCATTGCTATTCTACTGTTACTACTGTATATTATCGTTAATTCAGCTGATGGCCTTTTCGACGTGCGACAAATTCCTCAAGTGATCTCCAAAATACAAAGAATGGCTATTATTCGGATTTGCTCTTGTCAATTTCTTTGCACACTTTTCCAAATTTTCTAATTCTAATTGCTGCGTATACAAATAGAGAGAAAGAGAGAGAGAGAGGCAGAAATAAAAGGGAAGGGATTACAAATCCGTAAAAAACAATGGGTTCAAAATGCATGGCCACTTTTTTTTTTAGTGGTAAAGGACATTGGATGGTGCGACGTATTATAAACTCTCAAAAATGCTAATCTTGTTGATGAAATAAAACTAACAATAAACTTGCTGCTATCACCAAAAAAAAACAAAAAAAAACGAGACCATTTTTTTTCGCCTACTTATTTTTTTGTTTACCTCACTCTGTGTTTCCCTTTCTCTCTTTTAATTCTTCTTCTTTCTTTTTTTTTTTTTTTTTGTTTTTTCCTCATGATCCTTTTTCAGGCTACTTTCCATTAAGTAGCATTACACAAATATGGACAAATGTGTATTCATAAAAGGAAGTATTTGGATCGAAGTTTTGGATGATGCAAATAAGAGGTTAAAGGAAGCAGAAAGAAAAGGGAGGTGGAAAATGCAATTTGTGAAGAGAAAGAACTTGTAAACTTTGTAGCTGCTTGCTCGACCTCTTTACCTCTTTTCCCTCATCCTTTTACCCTCCTCTAGCCCTCCACTTTTTATACATTATAAAGAAATGTGAAAGAAAAGGGGAAGGAAAAAGAAAAAAAAAGGTGAGCAATAATGGAAATGATGGATAATCCGGATCGGAGATAATATTCAAGTGATGACGAGGATAATAAATGGTTAGGTAGCACCTAACTTACTAAATAAGCAATAGGAAAAAAAAAACAAGAAGGAAAACGAAAAGGAAAAGCAAAAGGGAAAAACCGGAATTTATTGAAATAGTGATAGTGACTAATATTTTAAATCAATTACTAAAATTTATGATATTATGTAGATAGAATATTTTTGCTAAATAACATTTTGTACTTTCCCGGATATATTCGTAAAAGAAGTAGCAAGAATTACATGAAATGGAGAAAGAGAGAGAGAAAAGAGAAGAATAAGAAAGATTATATATGTGTATGAACATTTATATTTCATATTATATGGATCAGTTTTGTGTTATTTTATTCACCAATCTATTTAATCTATCTACCTATTCATCTATCCATCTGTCTATCGATCAATCGATCTATCTATCTACTGTTTATGTTTATGCATGTTGCAGGAAATGCATTAAAAAATGATTAATAATTACTGTTTACTGAGCTATTTTTTATTAAAGCAATAAATTATTAATGAAATATTATAAATAAATATTACTAAAATTCTAGAGAAAAAGGAAGAATTTTTCTACTTTACTAAAGATCGATTATACTAACAGCAACAACAACAACAATAGCAATCATTAATAATGGTTATTGCTAAAATATTATCAGTTCAAGAAGAACTTCTTAATTCATCTATTATTAATCTAAAAATTAATGACTCTGATCCACAATGGAGCACACACTCGTTTCATCAAATGCAACAACAATATTCTTCTGAGCATGCATCATTGGATTCTAAAAATATTTCAACTGCTGAACTAATTATTGGAACTGTTACTTATGTAGTAAGTAAATAAATAAATAAATATATATATATATATATATATTTTAAATTAATTTATTAATGTGAATTTTTTAAATAAAATATTTTATAATTTTAAAACAAAAAAAAAGAAGGAAGAGAAAATCCAGGCTACTACATAAATACCATATTTTATTTTTTTATTTTAGAAATGATATGATCAAAAAAATTTCAGTAAAGTCAGTTTGATTTTCAAAAGTTTAAATGAAATTTTAAAATAACTAACTGATATATGCGTAACAGTTGAAGAAAAAAAAAAGAAAATGAATTACGATTAATCAATCATATAACAAGTTCAGAATTTTTATCAAGGAAAGATTTTTGCGAATGATAAAAATGTTTGTTGAAAATGTATTTGTATTTTACTTTATTGACAAATTTTGATCTATGGTCATGAAGTAAAAATAATGATGGCATCATTATTGAAAATTAAATTTTTGAAATCATATAAATGTAGTTAGATGGATAACCCACAGATAGATGGCACTTTTTTTTTTTCCACATAAATATGTATATTCTGTATAAATGAGAAAATTTATTGTTATCAAATAATCTTTTCAAGGATTGTAGATTAGATTTTTAATCTTTTTTTCAAAAAAAGAAAAAATATTTTAAAATCTCGACTAAGAAAATCTCGATTATTTTCCTCTAATGTTGAAAGATTCATTTTAATGAAATAAAAATGAAAAGAGGAAAAGGGAAAGAGAAAGAAAAAAGAAAGGTAAAAGTTTATAATATTGAATTTCAATATTATAAAGGTTTATCTTTTTTTAAAGAAAAAAAAAGGAAAAAACAATAATAAGAGAAAAAAGTGAAAAGATTTACGAAACAAATTAGTTTAATTAGTATTACTGACGATCAATAAGTAATGCTTCAAATTTGCTGTAAAAAAAAAATTAATTCATCAATTTTTTCCTTATACCAATATATTTCCATTATTTTTTTTTCAAGCAAATGAAAAATTTATCTTTGTCCTTTTCTTACCATATTTAAAATATATTATATAAAAACTCAATTATTATTTCAGAACATCATACTTTTCTTCTATTTTTAAAATACATGCTGTTTATTGTAATCAAGTAATGATACGACTTCGTTTTTTTTTTTTTTTTTTTTTTTTTTTAAATGCTTTAATAAACAATTAGTATTATCCTAATTTGCTATTAGTTTCTATCTTATCATAATTAATATGTCAAGTATTATCATTACAGATAATAATTATGATAACAATCGTGGGAAATTCACTCGTCGTTATTTCTGTATTCAGTTATCGACCATTGAAAAAAGTGCAAAATTATTTTTTGGTTTCATTAGCAGCATCAGATTTATGTGTTGCAACATTTGTTATGCCACTTCATGTTGTTAAATTTATTGCTGGTAAGATAATTTGTAAATTTGTATTATCAATTAATTTCAATGATTTAATTTTATAAAAATTTTTATTATGAAAATTTTCAATTACATAAATATTAAAATTACATAATGGACTTTATGTATTAACAATTGATTGCTATTCGTTTAACTTTTTTTCACAAACACATCATAATCAGTTTATTTCATTCAATTAAGCTATCAATTACATTTCTTATTAAATTTCATTATTTTTCTTATGTTAGTTTGCTTTTATCAAACACTCAGATCGATTATTTTTCAATAATTTAAATTTATGTTCACTTTTTTGCTTACATTTAAGTAAAACATACGATAGATTAATTATGGTAGGAAATTTTTTTCTTTTTTTTGTAAAAAATTTTAATTTTTTTGATTCATTTTAAAAGTAATTTTAGAATATTTATTTTTTCTTTCTCTTAGTATCTAAATATGTTATCAAAAAGTATTGAATTCTTCATCCTAGTATTTGGTATTTAAATTTTTATCCTACGCATTAATATTTATTTATCTTCTCGTTGAGATAAAAAGAAAGCTAAAGATCTTAAAATAACTTTTTATTTACCTTTTTCTTATCTTCGTTTTCACTATTTGCTCATATTTTCATTGTTATTTCTCTCGACAATTTCCTAATTATAGTATAAATTAAAACATTAAAGAGCCGAGAAAGTTTCTGATATTATTACACGTTCTGATTATGAGCAAAAGTTTAAATTATTCGAGAAAATAAAAATCGTTTTTTCTTCAAAAAGAGAAACAAATATATTTGTACAGAGATGCAATATGATGTATTGGTTGATAATTTACAAATCAATCAATATCATATTCTTAACTATTATATGCTTTTTAATGTTTAAATCATAATCATGTGAGATTTTTATTTAGATCAGGAAGTATTTAAATAAATTTCGCTATTTTAATTCAACCGCTATTTTTTGAATTCAACCAATTAATCACTCGAACCTTTCTGAGTTATTTCTTATCATCTTATAACTTAAGAAGAATAATGCTAATTATGACGATTTTTTTTACCTCTCAATAGATGAGGAAGTAGATAAAAGACAGGGAAGTAAGGTAGATTGTTATATTATAATTATTATTATTACTATAATATATATATATATATAATTCGTATAACTTACTTATTTTTTCCTTACATAATTTTCTGAAAAACAAAATGGAAAAGAGAGAATTGGAAAAATTTTTTGATTCATATAGAATACTTATTTAATTTCCTCGCTTTTATTCTGCTGCACAACAATTATTGATTTAAACACAGTTTTAAACTTTAAAAAGAAAAGATTTGAAAAAAAAATTTTTCATTAAAAACGAAAATATAAATTAACCCCTATTATCATTTTTTTTCTTCATCATGTTGCATTTATTCAAAAATTGATTACACTTAAAAATTTATTATAAATGCAATATTTTAAATTATTTTCAACATAATATATAATAATAATGTGAGTAATTTTCATGTTAAAATGATCTAAAATTATAAGAATAAGTATGGAATAAGTATAATTTCATTCATCAAATACACATGCAACACGACACAATCATTTCTAAATGAAGCACCGCTACTATGAAATGAACTAACTCGTTCACATTTCTCAGATGACATCATTGAAAACATTTGATGAATTTAATGAGATGAAAATGAATGAAGATTGAATGAAGCAGTGAGGAATTGAAGTTAATTAACCAATATTCATGAAATGTTTAATTTTTTTGTTTCTGTTATACATATTTTAAAATTTCGATAGATATTAGTAATTATAAGCAGATAAATATGTTAGCAATAAAATATATGACGCAACAAATAAAATAATAGAAAAAAAAAGAAGGAAAGAGAAAAAAGAAAAAGTTCAGGGACAATTAATAATGCAAAATAATGAGGGAATAAAAAATAAACTTAAATTAATAATCAGATGAGATAATTTGAAATTGATAATTTATTTGATAAAGGAATTTGTTCGATATATATATCTTATAATTAATACTTATTGTAATCATAATTGAATCAAAGTTCCCTTTTCTTCTTTTTAAATCTTAATTAGGAAAAAAACATTATAAAATTAATAAATTTAATCTATGATATAAAATGAATGCATCAGTTAAATTTACAGAGCATATAGAAATTGTGGGATTGTTAAAAATAAATAAGCAATTAAATAAAACGTAATTAATGAAAATTTGAAGTGAACAAAGCAACAAAAAATTTCTTATTTTTTCTTATAAATGAAAAATTATATAGAAAAATTTTCTTGGATGCAAATTAAGTCTCATCATTATACAGTTTCTACGTTAACATTGTTATTATTATTATCATTATCACTATTATTTCATCACTATTACTATTATTATTATCGTTGTTGTTACTGCTATTATTACTATAACTATTAATATTGGTAGTAGTAGTATTTTAACAATTTAAAGTTTTTTTTTTGTTTTAAGCTGGTAATGATGACAATGATGAATAATGATGAAAAGCCAAGTACTGATAACAATATTAATAAAGTGTTTTTTTTTTTTTCTCTCGACAAAAGTGTAATAAATTTTAGTGTAAGAAAAGATATTTCAGGTGGACGATGGTTATTAGGAATGACCTTATGTCATATATTCACAACAGCTGATATAATGCTTTGTACATCATCGATTTTAAATCTTTGTGCAATAGCATTGGATCGTTATTGGGCAATTCATGACCCAATTAATTATGTTCATAAAAGAACATTGAAATTTGTTTGCCGTACAATAGCTGTGGTACATTATTATTCATATTTATTTATGAAAAATTTACATTATCAAATGGTACTGAATTGTTTGTAAATTAATAATTTCAAATTGAATTCGCTTAATGCTTTTCTTTTCTTTTTTTTTTTTTTTTCCCTTTTTTTTGTATCAATTAATAGATATTGCATCAAACGGAATTTGTTATAATTAATCGTTTACATCAATCATTAATTTTAAATATATTTCTATATATTTTCCTAAATTTATAAAATTGATCGATTTAGAAAAAAAACTTTTTTTTTTTCGTTCCTTCATCTCACTTTTTTTAAAATTAGAATGTATAAAATTCTGTAGGGAAAAAAACAGATTATTATTAATTACTAATGAATTTATTGAAATCATTTATTTTAATAGGTTTGGTTAGCAAGTGCATGTATTAGTGTACCACCAATAATTGGCTGGAATGATTGGTCAAGTGAAAGTTTAAAAACCCATTGTGAATTAACAACTGAAAAAGCATTTGTTGTTTACTCAGCTAGTGGTTCATTTTTTGTGCCTCTTGCTGTAATGGTTATTGTTTATGTAAAAATATTTCTTGCTGCACGACAACGAATCAGGAAAAATTGGAGTTTGTTTGTTTATTTTAATTGCATTATATTTGAATGTGAAAGATGAAAAATTATTAAGCATAAAATTGAAAAAAGGTTTTTTTTTAAATAAAACAAACTTTAAGAAACTTTTTAAATTTTATTTATTTTCTAATCGCTTGACATAAATTTACTGGACGTTGCAACCGTTAAAAAAAATATTAATCAAATTTTGGTGGAAATTTTAAATTTATTTATCATTGTAGGTCGGAGTGCGTTATCTGGTGGAAATAAATTTCAAATTAGACGACCAAACATGCGCAAAAATAATCTTCAAACATTCGGTAATGCAACTTTCGTTTCAACTGATAATTGTAGTGGAATTCGTGAAATGGTATGTTAGTAAAATTTATGTAATTTATAGTTTGTAAGAATAAGAAAACAGAAAAAACAACAAAAATTTTAAGTAAACTAGAAAATTTTTGTCCCGATGAATTAAATGAATATTTTAAAATATTTTTTTTTGTAATTATCAGCTAAGTATTAGTTGAAATTATGTTAATCCTAAATTTATCCCAAATTATTTATTAAATTGACAAAATAGTACTAATAAAATAATCGCTTGTTGCATGCAACTAGTAGCTAAATGAAAGGAGAACAAAGTAACTAATAACCAAAAAGTTTGAAAGAAAAAAAAAGTGGCAAAGTTTTAGAAAATTTTTAAAATGTATTCTGCAGGCTGTAACACGAAGCAGTCATACTCACAGCAGTGATATTTTATCCAGTAATTCACGATTTGCTGTGAAAACATTAAACAATGGGGCAAAGGTTATCAATAATTAAAAAAAAAATTCTTTCAATTAATTTATTTAGTGTTATAACATTTCAATTTGATTTATTTTTTTGTGATAACTCTTTATTCATTATTATTGGTAATGAAAAAAGAAAGATGGGAAAATTTTGCCTTAATTACTAAAATTTAATAATAATATAATAATAATTAATAATAATGATAATAACAACAATAATAATAATAATGATAAAAACAATAATAATAATAATAATTAGTAATAATGATAGTTAATATGAACAATAAATTCCAGTATTTTTTAATTAAACAAGGCATATATATATATATATATATATACATTAAGTTAATTTGAACTATTAATTCTAGAAATAACAGAAAAAAAAACTTTTCTTTTTAAAGGATCAAACTGCAACTGCTGTAAGGCAACGTGAACAAATTAGTGTATCTAAAGAGAAACGAGCAGCAAAAACAATTGCTGTTATTATTTTTGTATTTTCATTTTGTTGGCTTCCATTCTTTTGCGCATATGTTATAATACCATTTTGTAATTCATGCTATGTTCATCCAAAGGTTAGCATATTTTAATTTTATATTAAAATTTAAAAATGAAGTCTGATATTAGTTTATGTATTTCATTATGTCCTAAATGAAACTGTGAAAAAGTTAAAACTTATTTTCCATTTTTTTCTTTTTTTCCGTGGAAAAAGAATGATAATAGCATAATTTTGTGTATTTATTAGAATTTTTTGTTCAGTATCAATTCATATGAGGGAAGAAAAAATATTTTTTTTTCTTGTTTAAAAATTTTTTCATTGATTTAGAAAAATTTTTAAGCAAAAATTGTTTTAGTTTTATAATGAAATTTTTTTTAAGAAAAATATTGATTTTGTTTTCATTATCAAATTATTTTCGCATTTTTTTCTTGCTTATTTGATCATTTTGTAATTTTTTACATTGAAATATGTAGCATAAATGGTAACTTGAGAAAAAACGAAATGCTTTTTTTTTTTTTTGCTCTGTAATTTAAGAGGTTCAAAAAAATTTTTTGAAAATTGTTTAATAAAATTAATTCAATTGCAGATCATGCAAGCATTTATTTGGCTTGGTTACATTAATTCATCGCTCAATCCATTCCTTTATGGGATATTAAACTTGGAATTTCGTCGAGCATTCGAAAAAATTTTGTGTCCCAAATTGGCTGATTTCAACCGTAGGATTAGAACACGTCAAAATAAATAATAATAATAGATTTATTATTATTGTGTCAATTAATATAATTTTAAATAATTATGAATATATGTACATAAACTTGATATATCATGTCGGATCATTTTCTTTCTTTTTCTTTTTTGTATTTTTTAATTCATTAATTTCCTTAAAAAATTTTGTTGTCTAAAAAAAGAAAAACAAAGAATTTGTCTAAATTTATTAATTTAACATTAGGAAAGTTGTCATAGTATTAAAAATATAAACTTGTATAATAGATAACAAGTTATGACTAACATTTTTTTATTTTAATTTATGGTGTTGAATAAAATAGGTAAAATCTAAATCTGCTTACAAATGTTCAAGTTGTGAAGTGTACCTTTTCTTTTTAGTAAATACAGTAATTAAACATTTTTTTTCCCTTCAAATTAAACTAAAAATGTTTGACATGCAAAATGCACAATAAGAGATAATGATATGTTCAATCAGACCTAAAATAATAGAAATAAAAATTAGTAAACATAAGCAAATTTTTTATGACAATTATTATTAAAAACATATGAAAATTTTTAAAAAATGAACAAAGTACACCGTAGCAAATATTTATACTTTAATGCATAACAAGGAATTTTTAGCAACCATAACAGATTTATGTTCTAATTTTAATTCCAGAATTTATTATTACTGTATTATATATTTAATATAAAAATATGTATATCCAATACTCAATCTAAAACGTAAGTGTTATAAAATGAAAATCTTTTATCATTGTATTTGATCATGTATCGCTGAACATCATGTATCGCTGATATGAAAGTACATATCGATTATAACAAGGGTAGAAGTAGAGAATGCAAATTAAAATGTTAAAATAAAAAAAGCTTTTTTTTGCAATGTTTTCCATGGATACTTTGATTCGTTACTTCACCCTATAATCAAAAATGCAAATATATTTAAAAAGTAAATTAAAGAGTTAAGTACAAAAAACGAAAAAAAAAAAGGAAAACTGAGACTAACTCCTTTTGCATTAATCAGATTTGATTTTAAACAAATTTTTTCCTGAAGAAAATATCGAAAAATGAAGTAATCACAAGTATAAGAATTGATATTACAGACTTGAAAAAAAGATAATTATGTTAAACCTTTCCAAATAATTACAAATGATATTGAAAAAAAAAAAAAAAAAACTAATGAATAAATTTCATGCACCGATTAAAAATTTCTTTTTTGCCCGTTTCATAACATAAGAGAAAATGGAATGACACCAACATTTTTATGTTTTCATATTAAAACAAAATAAATATTTTTTGATACTTTATTCAAATATTAAATAATAAACAAATAACCAAAAATTAAAATAATGAAAAAGAAAAAAAAAGTGGAGCAAAACAAATAATTGTATATATATATATATTAAAATATTATCTGATTGTTTTCAAAATTTGTTCCAACGAAAAAACAAAAACATCAATTTCTTCTATCTCATAACAACAACAACAATTATTATTATTATTATTATTATCGCCTAACTTCATCAAGCTTAAATCATTCGTTTGATGTTTCGCACTGAGAGCATGAAAATAAATATTTATCCAAAATTTTAATATCAAATTAATCTATCATCCATTGAAGTAAAACGCTGCAAAATTATGAGAAAAAGAATGATAACAAACTTGTAGATGAATGCCACTGTCGTATATAATGCAAACCTCAAATTAAACAACTTTTATTGTTTTGCTACTGAATTTTTGAAAAATATTAAAATTTTACAAATTTTTCTTTTTATTTCGTCACCATACTCATTTGATTCTTAACATTGTTATATAAACATTATATCATTTAATTATCATCAAAAATTTCGTAAATAAACAAATCAAATTTGATAGGTTATTTTGGTAATGATTTGTTATTATTAAAATCATACCACTGTGAATTAAAGACGACTTAATTATCAAAGTAGAGGATGTAATCATGTGATAAATCTAAAAAATAAATACAATATGCAAAAACCGGACGAAAAAAAAGTAAAAATAAGCAGTGTATTCAAGATGATAAATTAAATAATGTAAACATATACAAAACATATTTCACATAATATTTGTTATGAGTATTTGTTATTGAGCTAATTAATTACTGGAAGGTTAGGAAGGAAAGAAAAGTACATTAAGCAAAAACAATTTGATCTTTTCATTCATTATTGAAAATCAATAATGATCGTGATTTATAAAAGACAACCTAACATTAATTTTCTGTTTTTTTCTCATTCATAAATTTGTATCACAGATAGATAATTCTCTAAACTATTCCTTTATATAGAATTTCATATTTATTATTATTATTATTTCTATTACGTTTTTACAGTTTTTGGCTGTGAAAACAATGATTTAACTTTTATATATTCTATTTATATGTTATAGTTCATTTTTAATAATTTGACCTTTTCAACCAGACAATGCCATTTTAATGACTTACTGCTGCAAATTGCTTTATCATTATGGAATGAATGTAAAAATTGGAAAATTCATTTGTACCATGAAATGTTCACAGTAAAGGAATGCTAAAATTGTTAAACAGAATTTAACACTATCATATATTCAATTACTCTTTAATCAGTGAATTATTGAATGCAGAAGATTTACTTTATTTTTTTTTTTAATTTCTAAATGTTTGAAATTCATAAATTACATTCCTAAACAACTAGAAATTCGTAGCCTGAAAAAAAGGAACCTAATAAATGATAAGAGCAAATGTTAATAATTACTAATTAGCTTGGTAGCAGACAATTTCTCTGTATTCGATATAATAAAAATTTTGAGCAATAGAAGAAAAAATAGTAAAAACATTTCGAAGGAAAAAAAGAAGAACAAAAAAGAATTACTTACAACAATTTGTAGCAAACATATAAGGCAAACTTTGAATAAAAAGAAAAACGTGGGAGAAGAAGAAACTATAAATTATTTGGTTTCTGCAAATTCAATGCTTGTTGTACATAACTTGCAACATATTCCGAAGTACCATTTAAACTATCATAATATTTAAAAAATTCCATTTCCATAAGCATCGCATAATTTGGTCGAGCTTCTGTTTCTTTCACAAGGCTTAAAATTATTGACCACATGATTTTTTTGTTGCTTTCTCTGAGGAATAAATAAAATTTTAATTGATATCAACAATTATTCTCTAGAAATTAAAAAAAAAATTGTTTTATCAACAATTTTCAAAATTAAAGTACACTCACCATGAATTGATAAATTGAACAGTTCTAATTGAATATACATCTGATGGACCCATTATTGGTGCATCACCATAAACAACCTGTTGAAGTTGTACAAAAAGTTCATTTTCATTAAATGTTGGATACGGAAATACACCAAGAGCTACTTCTTGCTGTAAAAGAGGAAGCAAAAAAGTAAATGATAGATTAGACCAATACTTAATTACTTTCTGTTCAAGAAGTTATTGCTTGATTATTGTTGATAAATTAGCAAAAAGTTTACTCCTTATTGTTGATAAGGATAAATTAACTTTACCAATGTAATTCCTAGACTCCAAACATCAGAACGTATATCGTAGGCAGCATTTGTAAGTAATCTTTCAGGCTACAATTACAAATAATCAGTTAATCAGTAGTATTATAACAGAAATTTGGTAATAAATTTCATTATTAGAATTTACTAAAATTCTACAACGGTTGTTAGAAAAAAAAAGAGAGAAAAAGAAAAATAGTAGTGTTTAGAGAAGAAAAAGAAACGATTTACTAAAATTATAATTTTATTTAAAATCATAAAAAAATAATTTTTAAAAGAAATTAGCAATTTATAATAACTTTTATAGAGCATAGTAAGCATTAATAAGTAAAATATACAAATAAATTACTTATAAAAATAAAAACTAACTGCCATATATGGTCGGCATCCCGCTTCACGTGTTTGTGCCACAGAATTTATTAAATAACCGGATATTCCAAAATCACAAAGCTTAATATTACCGCGTAGGTTTAATAAAATATTGGATGGTTTAACATCTAAAACGTGATAATTTTTAAGTAACATGAAAAAAAAATTGTTCCTGGGTCTACCTACTACTATGAATATACATATATATATATATATATATATATATTGTGTAATTAAAACTATCTAACACCTTAAATTCTTTTAATCATATGGTAGCCAAAAATTGCTGATACATAATTTTTGATATAAGTAAAAGTTTTCCGATATAAGTAGTGAAGATAATATAAAAAGCTCGAACGACAAAAAAAAAAAAAAAAAATAGAATAGAAATTATACCTCGATGGATAATTTTAATTTCGTTTTTCAAATGATTTAATGCTTTAAGAATCTGGAACAATACAATTTAGAAAACATATTATCGTAAAAAACAATTTAAACAAAGCATAAATCATCAAAAAATATTTTATAGAATTTTTATCTCCTTTATATAATTAGCAGCACTTTTGTTTAATAACTCACCTAGCATTTGCTAAGAAAAAATTTCCTACATGTTACATTTCATATAAATAAATATATGAACTAACAAATTTTACTATATATCAATCTTAATTAAATAATAATAACTGTATATGACTAATTGAATAATTGAGCAAAAATTAAATTTTTAAATAATCATTTAAAAGAGATAAAATAATGTACTGATACTGCAACATGGCCAAGTATACGCTCATCAAAATTGCCACGAGTATGATTATGAACAGTCTTGTACAAATTTTCCAGTGATATATCCATTAATTCCATACAAACCAAACAATCACCCTAAAATAATTGTAAAAAAAATTGATCGAAATTATTACTCAGAAAAAAAAAAAAAAAAAAAAAAAAAAAGAAAAGACAATATAGTATTGGAATAGTTTCAATTCAAGATTAATTTTATGAACTTTTTATTTTTGTTATTATTTAAAACATTTCTAGTTAAAATTTTGGCAGCGTTGAATAATAATTTAAAACCAACATTTATAATTCATTAACATTGATTAACCTCATGAAAGGTAAGGCCATAAAAAGTTACAACTTGGGGGCAATCTGAGGCTTTTTTAATAGCATCAACTTCCTGTCTTAAGCGTTTCATTGAACGATTCGCTTCGCCATCATCATTTTTGCCCGAAATAATACGAACTTTCTGAAAAAAACTAATCAGTTAAACAATATTTTCGAAGTTAATTAAAATATTATTCATTATTTTTTGAATTATTTAAATAAAAATTAAGTTTCCTTTATCAATAAAATTCCTACTTTAACTGCCATATATCGACCTGTTTCATTGTGCCGCATCTTATTCACACGACCGTAAGCACCTTCACCAATTGATCCAAGATCTGTCAAATCCTGTAATACTGATAATGTTGGTGATTCAATACCGTTATCAGTTTTCGAAAGTCATAAAAATTTAATTTTTTTTAAAGATTAAAATTAGAAACACAGACAATTATACATATACATTATTAATAACTTACATTAAATAATCAGTTTCATGACAAAACTTACAAAGATTTATGCAAAAATAAAAAAGAAATTGATTGAAACTGTTTGTTTTTGTTTTTTGGAAATGTCTATCTAGTATATAATTAAGTTTTCGATATGGAAAAAATTCAAATTCATCTTTATTTTGCATCAAAAAAAAAAAGAAAAAACGAAGCAGTACCTCATAACCGAAGCAATATTCTTTTGGTTCATTTGGAAATCGTAATCTACCAGAAATGAACATCCGAATAAAACCCCTATAAAAATATTTATTATTCAATTTTAAATGTACACATTTTATCGAAATAATTTATCATATTTGTCTTCTATTCAAAACAGAATTCAAATTCTGAAAGCATATAACATTCATATCTTCTCTAGTATTATTATCAAATTTGTGTCTGTCAATAGATAAGTAAAAATAAGTTTTAAAAAGAAGCAAAAAGTAATGAAAAAAAAAAAGAAAAAAGAAAAAGAAAAAACAAGTCTCACATATGTGAAATTTTCTCAATATCTTTGGCTCCATCAGGAACCATTTGAGCATCACCCAATTCCATTTCTTCAGTTAACTCATTTTTTGCCGTATTCCTTCCAGCAAACATATCTGGAAATTCTATTTTTTCTCTTTCATTGATATATTTTGAATAGATTGGAAATTATTGGAACAAACATTCGGAATATAATGTGGTCATTTTAACGATTAAATGGCCTATTTCAACACTCCTTCAGTAAGTTCCACTTGTAGTGATACAGTTCATTAGGATTTAGTTTAGAATTATACAGTTCAAGGTAGCAATTTAGGATGATATGGTTTAAAAAGCAGAGTTTAATTTATGATATCATTTATTTAGACATATTGTAAACTGTAGTCAGTTTAGTTTAAGCTAAAGATGATTTAATGGGTTTACTCTCGAGATATTAAAAAACTTTTTATTTCAAGATTACATAATGTGAAGAGGTTAGTTAAAGGCAATGTAATTCAATAGGTTTAGTTAAAAATCACATAGTTCAATGCGTTTAATTTACAGTGGCATAGTTTAATGTATTTAGTTCAACAATTCAGTAATTGATTCAAATAGTTCAGTGGGTAAAAATAGCATAGTTTAATGAGTTTGGTTCAAAGTGGTATAGTTCAATGTTGAATTCAAAAATAGCACAAAGGATTTAGTTTTAATGGTTCAGGTCAAAATAACATAGTTCAATGGGTTTAATTCGGAAAAAAAAACAATTCAGTGCATTCAATTCAAAGCAGCATAGTTTAGTAGGTTTAATTCAACGGTCCAGTGGGTTTAATTTAAAATAATATGATTTTTTAACAGGTTTGGTTCAAGATGGTATAATTTAATGGGTTTAGTTCAAGGCGGCATAGTTTAATGGGTTGAATTGTTTTGCATAGTTTGAAGCTTTCAAAATGGTACAAATTGACAAGATCGCATATAGTTCAAAGTACTTAGTTAGTTTATGAGAGAAATATGGATCTAATTCAAAACGATGTAATTTAGAAAAGACTTATATTTACAATCGTGCAGGTTTAATAAGTTTAACTCAAAATGGTATACCTCATTGTAGGTCGACTCAAAATTGCTTAATTTATAAGATATAATTCAAAACAATATATAATAAACCAGCAAAATTTATTTCAAAATGCATAATACAACGAGGTGTGTTTAAAAATGCATGCGAGACAAAAAGTTTTCATACTGGTAAAACGATTAGTGTAAAGCAGCTTTCATGAGTTAAATAGAAACATTCTTATGTGAAGACAGTTTGATGAAGAGGAGAGTGGTAGAGACTGGTAGGATTTGGAAGTGTTCGTTAGGAGAGGTTGAGAGAGTTATTAGATACTTGAATATTTGAGAAGTATATCAGTGATATGAAGATTTTTCTTTCTTCTTTTTCTTTGTGAAAGTAAAGCATAATGGTGTTGATTTAGCATAGCTATAGCAAGAAATGAAAAGATAGAAGCAGATAAAAGCTAAAGGAGACAACAACAAAAGAGAGTGGGGGGATTTTAGTGCGAGAGGCTGGAAGAAATTTAGCAAAAAAAAAGCGATGAAATAAGATTTTATGATTGTTTAAACGATATTGATATCAACAAGACATATGTGTATTGTACTTTTTGAATGTTTCAAGATATTAATTTTAAGACTTTTCGAAAAATCTATGTGATTAATTCACAAGTTATTCAAGCATAGCTAGCATAGGGCTATAATTTATCTTATTTTGATGATAGTATGTGGAGAATTTTTAGGAATTTCGTAGCAATTTCATTATTTTACTTGGCATATTTTAACATAATTTGGCTTATGTTGGGTGAAGCTATAGTGTTAGTAATTTAATGAGTTTTTTTTTTTTTTTTTTTATCATTCTTTCAAAGAAAAATGAAAAAATAAAATCTAAGCTTTCAATAAAAACAGCTATAGCAAATCTTTTTCCATTTAACATTTTCAAACAAACAAAATTTAAATTGGTTAAGTAATTTCTAAAAGAGAAAGTTTAGATCAGTTTTTAAATTAGTATTAGCAATTTTTAAAAGAGAAAGATTATGGAGAAATTAGGTTTATTCATTGCTGTCTGTTATCATCATCAGCTATAATCATTTTTCGGTCCTTGTTAAGTATATTTTCCTGCTTTACCCAACATTTCACAAGCTTTAACCTTTTTCGATAAAATTGGTTGGATGTGAAGCAAATTGGTTATACTGGTTTTCGTATCAAACTTTCTTCATTTTACCACCCATAAAATGACGCACAACTAGGATGAAAACATAATAGTTAATTGATAATTACAGATTAGCACAGATGGATGGAAATGTAAATTGATGGAAAAGATGAGCTATAAATATACGTTCACGGATTGATGATATTTAGTTTCGCATCTCTCTTCTCTGTTACCACCAACATTTGTTGTAAATCAACAAAACATCAACAAATCATCCGATTAGCTTGAGAAACTTTGCTCTCATTGAGCTTAAATCTGCAACTTATGCTAATGAGTGTAAGAGAGGAGGACGAAATTGAAAGAGAAAGGAAGTGAAAGAGAAAAAGGATCGTGAAGAATGGAATTGTAAATAACGAAATTTATGTCTGACAAAGGAGGAAGATAATTTCGATGAGAGTGAGAGAGAGAGGGTGAGCGATCAACATTGAAGCTTAAGTAGTTATTGATCAATCGAAGCAACACCTTAACACTGGATAAAGTAGTAATGTGGTACGTAGGTAGTATGTTAAGATGAAGAAGAAGAAGAAGCTTCATCGTTATGCTAAAGCTGGTCATCGATTTTGTCAACCAAACGTGGATAATGATACATCCATTCAGGTATTTGTGGGGCAATTTCGGAATTGTTTTTAATTTGTTCCACTCAAAATATGTATGACATCCAAAACTGAATGAATTTAGATGAAAAGCAAAAGTGATTTCTCCCTTTTGAATTCGTTCCAGTTTTTTCTCTTTTTGTTTCCACAGAGTAGGTAATTCATTACTCTTCTTGTGATTTGTCGATTGAATGATTATAAATCAGAAATAGAAACTTCGTTAAGTATGCTAGTAATTTTAGAGTGAATCAGGGAAATATGATGGTGTAGAAATAGTTGGAAAAAGTGCTGATGAATTGAATGAAGAAATAGCTGCTAAAATTGATGTATGTGAGAATAATGATAACTCACTAAGGATTGACTTCTATCCGTTCGCGTATTCTCTTCATGATGAGCAGTTATCAAGCAGATGCTGGTATTGCCTTGCAAAGGTTGACACACTTAAGTAATACTTCTTTTGTTGTTTTCTTTTTTTTTTTTTTTTTATTTTCTTTTATAGCCCCTAAACGGTTTTTTTTTTTTTGATTAGTGAAAAATATATATTAAGATTCTAAATATATCCTTAAAAATGGTACTGAATTTTGATTCGAACAGATCTCACTGATCATATAGAAAGCAAACACATACCGATGATAAACTTTAAGAATGCTACATTATAGACGCTGTCATGCATGTCGTAAAGGAATGTTTTGTAACGAGAAATGTCAAATATTAGGATGGAAGGATCATCGATCAGAGTGCAAAGCTTTCAAATCGCATGATGCGATAGCCAATATTGAAGTGCGTTTGTTGGGCAGGATTGTTACTCGTTATAAGGTCTGTTACTTGTCAAGATCTATTTTTCTACCTAGCCGAAATTGAGGAGTCGTGAGGAGAAAAGAAATAGTGATCTGATGTTGTTGAATTAAAAATTTACAAAAATATGCGTTTCTGCATTATTAAATATAATTAAGAACATAGTTTAGGCAATTAAACTGGGAAAAGACAAGGAGGACAATAATTTTTACAAGGATCGCACATCCAAACGATCCATTATGGATATCTGGTCCCACACAGATCTCATTAAAAAGGATCCTGCTGCTATGACAAAATTTAATGGTGAGAATTTTTTGATGCAATAGAGAGAAAAATGGGAGAATTCGTGAAATTTAGAATATCGGTTCTCTCGATGTGAAATCTTTGCTGGACATGTTTTCATCTCTCAGATTCTTAATATTCATATATGCCTGGGCAGTAGTCGTTTTCTTTTGTTTCTAATTGGTAATGTGTGCTTTTCAATGAATTTTGCATAAATTTTGAATGACATAATAGCACTCCAAGGATGGAAAGAATATAGAGTACACGTGAAAGCAAACAAAGCTAGCGTATTTAGTTCGAAATAATAATTAGGTTGATTTAAAGGAATTTATGCTGATCTTCTTGCATTCTATGGATCGAAAGCAATGGTTAGTAGAGATGAAGTGTTCGAGCTACACTGCCGGAACTACATCAACCGTCATGCTATCAGTGACTGCGGCTACATTGAGGTAATTAGTGTGTGTACAAGAAAGGCGCTAGGCATGACATTCTGAGGCTCATGGGCATAATTTTCGATTGAGCAAGGCTGTATATGGTCAGCTTCTAGATATTTTGCTTGTACGAAAGAACATTATGAAAGTTAAAAATTTTAGCAAAAATTGAGTTGTGATTCGAGAGCTGATCCTTAAAAGTTTTTTGTTCTATTAATAAAATTTTCAGGAAATAGGGAAAGGTTTGTATTTGGACTTATGTGCTTATGATCATAGTTGTCGTCCAAACGCAATATATACTTGTAATAGTTTTGTTGCAACATTAAGGGGCCTTACTGCTAACGTCGACTTGCGAAATCTCAGTTCAACTTATTACTCTTACATAGATTTAATCAAGTATTTTTTTTTTTTCAAATTAAATTATTGTGAAATCAGTTTACTGTTAAAGTAATCTTTGTTGCCTTGAGCAGACTGACAATTTTTAGATTTTGATTTTACTTCATTCTAAATTTTAGTGTCTTTGAAATGTTTCCATTGCCATTTATTTTTTTTTTAAATTGTTATAGTACAACGCAACAACGACGTAAATTATTGAAGGATACATGGTACTTTGAATGTCATTGCACACGTTGTGATGATCCGGATGACGCTCTCCTATCATCTATTTTATGTCCAAATTGTCCGGTAAAACAAATTAGTTTTTCATTCCGAATTCTCCTATTGCTATAACCAGCTCTTGTAGAATATTCTTTTTACTTCACCAAATTTCAACAACGTGAAAGTAATAATTTGTAGTCTTAGCGAGGTCTTCTGAAAATATGCTTAGGATTTATCATATATGCTCTTAACACTTATTGAATCACACTTATTCTGCATAAATTTTAATTTCGCTCATGCAATATAACATATTTGTATTGAATTTCCACCATCATATAAATTGTTGTGAATCGTGAATTCAGCTTGTACGCATCTCATAAATCATATTATCGCTGAATGATAGTTGCAGAAGAAACGAGAATGTTTACGTATATTTGGTGATGTGCCTTACAAAGATCGGAATACTCAAATAATAACTTGTCCGAAATGCTATAATAAAGTATCACCGGAGTATGTTATAGAAGCGATAGCAGCTATGCGTTTTATCGATAAGATTGTTGAAAACCGTGAAGTTGAGAAGGTTGATTTCTATTTTTTTGCTAAAAGTAATGTCTGTTTGATAATCGCAGAAGAGTGTTGTAGTCTTATTGGTATATTGAGATACATTCGCAGGGCATTGTCAGGCTTTCTTTTACTCTGTAGTGATTTGTAAGGTTTTGTATTCGCATAATATTCAGTAAAAATTTGTAATCGGAGGGTAGAAATGGCAGAATTACCCACACAAAATAGGCAAATAAGTCAGTTATTGCAAACTTTATTAATTTACTTGGTTCTTGACCAAATATATCCTGTTGTGAGCAAAGATTATTGCTGAATATTTTTCATACTACTTTTAGATGTCACGTGAGCAAAGTATTAGATTTTTGACTGATCTGAAGAAACGTTTTAGCGAGTTGTTGTCAAACGTAAATGTCTTCCTATGCAAAGTCATCCAGGTGCGTTAACTTTTTTTGATAAAAGTTCACAAGGTCCATCTCTCTCAGAAATAGTTGTTTGTTTAGCATGTTTGTTTACCTTACCAAAAGTTTCAGAAAAATGGAATATTAGATTAATGAATTTAAAAGCCGGTGACGATTAATATTCATAACATGTTTCAATGTATTTATTATTTTAGTTTTGTCTTCTTTATTGTCTCTTTAAAGTGCTCGAAATCAGTAATTCCATTTCGTTCATTTTTAGCTGCTAATTCCATTAATTGATATATCAGATTGTCAGCTGTTATTGGATTTGCATTTGGAAGCGGAAGAATGCGTCCGCTTTTGTTTCCCATACAATCATCCCGCTGTTGGCATTCATTATCGCAATATTGCTACTTTCTATTTGAAGTAAATGACCTGAAATTTAGTCTAATCCTTCATTTTCGGCATTTTTTCACAACTTTCTCAATTGGATCAGAAATTTGAAAGTAAGTTTCAGGTGTAAGCAGCCGCATCGATCTTTGCTTTACTGTAAGAAGGCATATGAAGTAGTAAAATTTACGTTGGGATCGAAACATCCAATGACAATTGAGACGGATGCGATGTTAAAGGATGCATCTCGTGAGGTTCAAGAAGCAAAGAAATTGATCTTCGGTGAAAATCTTGGCATTACCGTATTTCTGGGTTTGGCATTTATAATTAATACCTTAGACTACTCTCGCTAAATTTAAGAAAGATAGTTTGGTGCCTGACAACATAAGATCTGTTTTGAAACTGGTGAAAGATGTTGTCTAGTAAATAGTAAGGAGAGGATATATTCTAAATGAACAAAGAAAATTGAAATGATGTGGAAATATTTTGGTAATAGTATGTCCACATCATTCTGGCTTTCATCATATAACTTCAACGATCTTTCCGAACTTGTGGGTGGAGAATACAACTGGAATATTAAGCAAAAAATGTTTCATGAATTTCAGGAACTGATACTAATATAAGAGGAAAATGTAATGGGACAGAACAACCGTGTTCAATAAAGGATAGTGTTGTGGTAAACACGGTATAATTTAGAATGTTGTTGCATTAAAGGAGAACTCTTTCCTTATTACTGTATGGTGATTACTCATACTTCAGTCTTAATTTCATTTAAAATATGTGTGATTCGAAATTAATGATCATTATCTTGCTCATATTTCTTAGTATTATTGTAGATTGTTTGTTGCATACTATCAAAAGGATTGATTATTGTTTGTTGAAGAGTGACATAGCTTGATATGTTAAAGAAGTTACTATATTTCACTATGTTCTGGTTTCAGTTTTCAGAATACTGATTTTTTGTAAAAATGTGAATTAATAAAGCAGTCATTTTCTTTTTAATCTAACGGAATGAATCTCTTCAGCATTTTATTCATAGAAAATAAAATACAACTACCATTGAAACCGATCGAACTTTTCCATTTTTTCTAGAAAAATATAAATTATATTGACACCATCTGTGATTAGTTACCTTTACATTCTTTCGAACTTCCTAATTTCGAAAATCTACATAAAGTCGGTTTTTTTTTTTCTCCTGATTAGAATTGAAGTGTTAGAAAATATTGAGTGGTAAAGATTAAACAGCTATGGGAAATATTTTCATTTTTTTTCAACTTAGATTCATTGTGAAAAGATCACTGATGGCTGTATGAATTTTTATCATAAATTATTGGACTTCTCACTATCAAAAGAATCATGTGTAACGCAATCTGCTGCATGCTTCGAATATATCGCATGTAACTTGGTTCCGTATCATTTTCGCTTCTATCTTCTTGCTAAGAAAAATTAGTTGCTGCTTCAATGTTAAGTATCAATATAGTTTATCCTAAAAGTTACAAATTCATAAAATGGTATTAGAGTTAGAAAAATATCTAATAGCAACTGTTAATTGTCCTAAAATTAGGAAGAGTATATTTGTTTATACTTTATAATCCTACTATTTACAACGTTTCTCGTGAAATCCTCTCGGATCAAAATCTGATTCAATAAGCAATTCTGGTAAAATTGCATTCGCTAAGAGTTTGTGATATATATTTTATTAACAGGAGTAGTTGTCAATACAAGTAATGAGATCGATATCGAGTATTCGAATTTTGAACAGAAATCATTTGAATTTGGGAATGCTATAATAAAGTTGACAATTTTTAATACCGATAAATATTGATATGCTGATATAACTGATAATAATGAACACTACTAATGATTGTTTGGAGCACTCGATTATATATCGCATGCTTTGTGATCTTTTTAAATTAATTTATTTCAAAATTATGTGTAATTCTCGTTATAGGCACGATAATGGGAAGAAATCGACAAAGCATGCGATATAAATCGAATGTTCCAGTAAGATTAAGAGAAAATTATCATTAATTTGATAACTACAGTCTGGTTATCTTGGGATCATCTATAATCTAATTAACGAACAGGATAAAAGAAATATCTTGATAACTGATAATTTCGATTTTTGCCTTTTTGATGATAAAACTTATAATGCTAGTAAAATTAGTTCCATCCAGTCAACGGAAGCAAGGGATTTCATGAATGCAATATCACCATATATATATATATATGTACATAATTCTGTTTACATTTATCGTGAAAAAAGTCCGAATTTCCGGAAAAAAACCTGAAATCACTGAAATCAAAAATGAAAAAGAAGGAGTACGTTCATCTTTCAACCATTACTATTCATCATTTTGGTAAGCATCATTCATCACTATGTGATGAATGTATTTGTTCAAAATACTTTTTGTGTAACAATTGTGATTTTTGTTTAGTAAAATGAAAATGTATACGAAAAAGTAACAAATAATTTCTTTTTGTTTGATCTCCAAAGTTTATAAATAGCAAATATATTAATTAATTATCTAAATACATTTAAAAATGATAATTTATAAATAATTTACAGAAAGAAAAAGATAATACGATAAATAAGTATATATTTATGTGAAACATTTAGTTAAAATGAAAAATGGACCAAGCAGGGGAAAAAAATTACTAGTAATAAAATTGATTAATTAAATACATCGAAGGAGTGTATCAGGTAAAAGAAAAATTTTGGATAAAAGTAAAAATTTTCTTTACTTAATGAAATAGCAAGTTCACAAGATGGGTGCATACACATTACGCATACATAAACACATACGCATTCATAACTGCTTTAAAGGAAATAAGTAAAATCAAAAAATAAATCAAATTTATTTCTTCATAATATAAAATTAGTTAATTATCGGAGGAGAAAAGAGAAAAAAATTTTGCGAGATGAAAAAAAGAGAAAAAAAAAACAGTAACAAATCCACAAAAGTCCATTTTCATTCACTTAATATTTAGAAAAAAAGAATTATAAATCAAAGACAGCGGTGATAGTATTCATTGATATTTGAACTTTACTAGAGCAAAAAAAAAAAAAAATGATCATTTCCATCGTTTCTGACTAAAATTCAAATTTAGAATTTAGATTTTTACTCAATAAAAAAAAAACATCGACAAATTTATTTTTTTAAGAAATAAATTATATGAAACAAAAACAGTGTGATGTAATTTAATGTGTGAATAAAAATGAACAAAAAAAAAAAAAAAAAAAAAAGGGAGAGGAAAACATTGGGATAGAAAAGGATTATGGAAAAAATGAAAAAAAAAAGTGAAGCAGCGAACAAAAGAAATTAAAATAAAGTTTTTTCTGTTTTTTCCTTCTTTTCTTCCGCTAAAATTAAATGCATGGTTAGCAGAAATGTGAACATACAAAGAACAATAATCAGTAATGTTTATTTCAAAATAATCTTGAAAAAACTAAATAAAAATTACAGAAACTTCTCTCGATTTTGAAATTAACAAAATGAATTTAAAGAAAAAGGATTCTATCGTTAGCAATGAATACGGTGTAATTCTCTCCCATTTCTTAAAAAAAAAAAAAAAAAAAAAAGAAAAAAAAAAGGAAAAAGAAAAGGAATTGAAATTAATGAAATTGTTTGACAGGTAAACAAAAAGAAAGAAGGAAAATACCACCTTGAATGCTTAACAAATGAAAACAAAAACAGAGACCTCAATTCCACTAATTAAATAGATATGTCAATATATACTAAGATCAGAAAAATTCAAATTTTGACAATTATTCAAATCACTCAAAATTAATTCTTTGTTCAAGATTTGTAAACATGATTCAAAACACATACAAGTATTTTAAATCAAAAAAAATTTTTAATTCAACTGCAACAAACATTAGAATTCATGAATAAATTGATTGATCACTTTTAATATGACTATTAACAGATGAGTAAAAACTGAAACATTAATTTTGCGCACATGTTGGTAATGATCACTTCAAAAGTTAAGCATTCAAAAAACAAGAATTCAAATTTTATATATCCACAATATTACGTTGGACAAAAACGGTCCTTTAAAAATATAAAAATATGTTTGAACAAAAAAAAGAAAAAAAGAAAGAAAAAAGATTAATTGTTCATTAAAGCAAATAATAGTGTAGCAGCGATGGTAAATTTAAGATATTGTCGTACCAAAAAAATGAAAATTTTTTGGAAATAAAAAAAATGTAATTTCTTCAAATGGACATTTGAATTGATGAAATCTTATCACATCGTATACAATGAATGGGTGATAAAATGACACAGAAATGATAAAAATTTACGAACGCTTAAACAAATAAGAAAACTATTACAAATTTAGAAAGCTCATTATTATTATTATTATCACTATTATTACTATCTTATAAGCATTATTACAATGATAATTTTGAAATTAGATTAGAAATATTATTCAGTAAATATTAAACTCTTCATGAATATCATGGTAATTATATTTAGGTAAAATGCAATCACTGAGAAATAATTCAAGAAAAATTCGCATTTTTTTAAAGTTAGAATGGAGAAATTTCATCGAAATTTTAAATTGAATGCAAAATTCTCTATTAACAAATAATCTGTGATAGTTTTGATAAGGTTAACAGTTATCATATATTTAAAGAGGTGAATTATCAAGGCACACTGATAAAAAGCTCAGGTGTGCTCTTTTAAAATTATAAGATTAAATTTGTAGCTTCTTCCTCTTCGCTTTTTTTTGTGTTAAAATTTATGGGAAAATAGAGCACAACTATTTCAGAGATCATCATCTATCATCAGTTTTAGTTTAAAACCAAAAAGAAAAAAAAAGAAAGGTACGGATTAGAGTTAGGAGGAGATAATTGCACAATGCAGCAAAATTATAAATTAACAACCGGGATTTAAGGCAAATAAAAATTTGCGAACAATATATGCATATATAGATATACACACACATACACGCATGCACGCGTACACATACACGTTGCACAGACACATACAAACACACACAAACACGTAAAGTTTAAGTGTAAACTAAAAAAAAAATTTTTTTTTTTTTTTAAAAAAATACAGTATTGTAATGAGGAAATGGAGGAGCAGATAATTGGACATGAAGTCTATCTTCATTCATATATAATTATTTAACATTATAGTCAAAAAAAGAGAAGAAGCATATTACTGAGTTTGAAACTGAAAGAATTAAAACAATCTCAGTTTCAATATTTCGTTTCATCATTATCACTATCAACATGACATTTTGTTGCATACTATACCGATGATATCGCTTCCATTTGCTTTGACTGTCGTGAACCAGATCGTGAAACAATATCTAAAATATGCCTAAAATAAAGAAACAAAATTTTCAAAGTAAATCGGAAAAGAAAAATAAAATGAAAAAAAAAATCGAATTACGAAAATGTTAAAAGATATAGCAATATGAAAATCATGTATATGTTCATCAATCAATATCAATTGATAAATGAATTATAATGAAGATAATATAATAAATAATTATACATTACACATTAATAAATAACAAAATTTACACAAACTTTTTCCTTCTTGTTCCACTTGTAATTTTAATTGTCGGCTTATTTCACGCAAACGTGCAGCGCTTGGACCGCTAAGCGATGGTTCACGACGATCCAAACCTGCTTGAAAAGCTTTAACCACACGGATCTGAAAAATTTTTAAAAAGATGAAATTTTTCATTACAAGAGCTATGAAATAAAACCAACAAACAAAAAAACATTATTAGCAATAGCAGCTATAGTAGTAGTAGTAATAGTAGTAGTAGTATAGCAGTAGAGTAGTAGTAGTAGTAGTAGTAATAACAACAAAAATGGAAGGATAAAAAATAAGGAAAAATATAACAACAGTAACAACAACAATAACAACTATATGACATTTTTAAACACTGCAACAAAAATAAAAAAGAAAAAAATGCTACCAAAATTGCCATCAAAAAAAAAAAAAAAAAAACACAATCAATAAATTTGGCTGATTTAAAAAAAAGAAAAGGGTTAGAAGAATAAAGCATATGGTCAGAAAAATTGAAAAAGTATAGATTTATACAAACTGAGAAGAATAACGACTAAAAATAAAAAAACAAAACAGAAGTGGGAAAAAAAGGATAGTGAAAAGGAAAAATAGTCCAAAAATTACTAATGAAATATATTTTGATATTTGAAAGTGAAGTATAATAAAAAATTGAAGAAATAGAAATAAACAATGATAATGCAATGAAAGAGACAAATTAGCGCTTATATTTTGAAAAATACAATATATTATGGCACCAATTATAAAATAATAATTCCACTTAAAATTTTTAACAAAAAATAAATAAATAAATGTTTAATTAAAATAAAATTCACACTGTGTAAATGCTTGAATTTGAGTAAAATTATAAGATTAAAATTTTAAGTCATCTTTTTTTTTTCATTCAAATATTTTTCTTCGATTAACAAATAGTTTTGTCAAATATTACTTATTGGATTCCTATTCGCATTATCCAGAAAGAAATTATAGGCAATAAACGCGCTAATAATAACTAATTATAAACTAAATTTATTCATTCATTCATTCATCAATATCAAATTAAGAGTGTAAATTTTTAAATAAAAATACTTGAAATGAATAAGTATGCATGTGTATTATGCTCAGATACATATATGCATTTTATGCATGCGAAAAACTTAGCTAACTAAATTAACCTATCAATGATAATCTGCTCTATCGTTTTTTTGTTAAAAAAAAAAACAAAACAAAACAAAAAAAAAAAAAAAAAAAATGTTAAGGAAACCAATAATCAGAAAAGGAGGAGAAGAAAAAAATTCAAGAAGCGATCACAAAAAAAAAAATTAAGGAAGCTAATTAATGTTAATTCAAGTGCCAACAAAATCAATAATGATGAAAGAAACAACACAAATTTGGTGCGCGTTAGTTTAAATGTATCAGTTATAATTTTGATTATATATAAGATTCATAATTAATAGTAGTGATATAATAACAGTAATAATAATAATGATAATGATAATAATAATAATAATAATAGTCGTGATAATAATAATAATAATAATACTAAATAATGGCACCACACAATGCAAGCAGCAACCAGCGACAGCACGGCGCAATATATACACCACAAACCGTGCATTTTGACAATAAACAGAAAAATTGAACTGTTCAATTCCTTTTTTTAAAAAATTTAAAATCGGAATTTTGATTTTTTTCAAAAACTCAAAGGCAGAATTTTAAATTTTTGTTGGAAGCGGTAGCATTAATTATTCGTTTTATGGTAGAGTGGAGAAGGGGCATATACTGATATAAAATTTTTTTTCCTTTTCAAATTCGAAAACTTTAATTATAAAAGATGCACTTGTGTGTGTTATATGTGTGTATGTATGCATGTATATATGTGTATGTGTGCGTATGTGGGAGAGAGAGAGGAGAGAGGAAGAGAAAAAGGATAGTCCACCCCAGTTGGATTCATGAAAACGAAACACTGTGCTTTTGCGCTTACAGCCTGGTCGGTTGGCGCTGAACTGAGTGGTACCGGTATTAAACGATCGGCCATTTCCCCGCCAATAACCTGCAATCACTGAGTGATACCTAATGTTTAGTGGAATATCAATCAAAATTCACTGAAAATTGTTGCATACACAAAAAAAAAAAAAGAAAAAATCACATTTTTCAGGAATAAAAATTTATTATTTGATCACCCTAAAAGGCTTTTCCTTTCCATTAATACCTTCTCCAGTTGTTATTTATAGATTGACGAAACCAAGCAATCTTTGACATTTTGCATTCCAGAAAGCTAATAATGTTTAATGTATCAATCAATGAACTCTTCTATATTAAGCATACCTTTTTTATTTGTCAAATTAAAATGACTACATAAAATTCACAACTAAAATTGCATTATTGATTAGGATATTATAATGCACAAAAATTTGTCGTTCTTTCCCCTGAAAGCTTTCGAACAAATTATTTGTTGAAATGAAAATAGATTGCTGGAATTTACGAACTAAAAATATTCAAGTCTTCGTTTTTTTTTTTTGAAAAATTTGAAAAAAAAATGATACTGTACGCAATAATAGTAAGAAAAAAAAAAGAAATGAAATGAAGAGTGAAATAATTTAGTATAATTTGTAATATTGACTTAGTATTGATGAGAACTTAAATATTTCATCTTAAATAATAAATGATGTATGTGATTTATTATTTTAACTCATCAAACAGTAAGCGAATCAAATTTTTAATTATCATCTTGCAGACTGATTTTTGAATATACCCGATTATTCAACCGAAAATCTTCGTGCTTCTAAATTAGGTTCCATAATATCTAATATTTGAGAAAGATGTATGTATTGCAACATTAAGATAACATAATTCAATATTTAATTGCTATTTTATATCATATATTTTCATCATTGTAATATCTTGAATCTAAATCATGTTTTGCTTATATTTGTCACAAGATAAGTGCTGAGAGAATAAGGTAGAAGATATATTAGAGATGGCCGGTATATGTATTGCTACTCTCTACATCCTTTTTTCCCCTACAATCAATTTAATAATTTGAAAAGAACTTAAACAGCAGAAGAATTCCAGATTACTCGTTCTTGAAGCTCACATAGATGATTTCGTACAACGATACAAAATTTTGATCGATATTGAATAATGTAATGATTCTAATAATTCAAATCTAAGTAACAAAATTTACTATTAAAGCCATGTAAAAGGTTTGCAAAAACTGGCCAGAAGAAAAACATTTTTATATGATTTGATCTTGAAATGACTCAACAATTCCGCTAAAAATTTTAAAAAACAAATAGCTGTTACATAATTCAAACTATGCAAATTATATATATATATATATATATATATACCTAAATCGTTATATTCAACCTGAAAACAATTATTTATCCTGGAAAGCATCCTAAAATGAAAATGTCTATCTGTTAAAAAAATTTCCTAAGAGAGGAGCTACTTGAATTTTAAAGACTTGTTTCTATTTAAAATGGAATTTACATCAATTTTCAGAAAAAAGAAAATGTGACAACCATATCGCAAAATAATTTTACAAAAATAATCTAATTAGAGAATGATTTAAATAATAATGATACAACCAACTACAAAAAAGAAAGCAAGCAAAAAAAAACTGATTTTGAAACCTAAGATGAAACTTAATACCAATGGCAAACATATTTCATGTATAATCCTTTAAAAATTTCAAACAAAATTTGATACAAAAAATTAATACAAATTATATACGAATACTAACCATCCTTAAATAACTTACCTTGACTTCCTGAAATACTGATCAACTAAGCGGGAGAAATTTTTTTGGCACCAATTCTTACTCGAGAAAAAAAGAACGAAAAGATGAAAAGAAAGTTCATGATATGGTATAATTTAACAGGAAAAAAAAAAAAATTACTACCTAGTCGCATAACAATACGTGAAGAAAAATGTAAAAAATGAAGATTTTAAGCAAGAAAAAATGTTTACAAAAAGAGAAAGAAAAAAATCCTAACAGACTAATACGGGAAATACAAGGAGATCTGAGCAAATAAAAATATATTATAAAAAGAAACATTCCACCACTTCCAACGGATAAAAAGATCTCAGAAATGGAGTGAAAAATGAGAAAAAAACCAGAATTAAAAATTAAAGTAAACTATTATTTTGCCATTTAATATAATATTACAGCACCATGAAAATATGTAAAAACCTCCTCGATTCCCGTTCTCTACTACAAGATTTCACACACAAACAAACAAATAAATAAATAAATAATGTTTATAAAAGAAGTCAAAAATATATTCAAAAAAATACTCCCTTTCCATTAAAAGGTTGGATGAGCTACCATAAAGAAGACCAAATAAATAAATATATGGACAAGTAGAAGAGAACTTTTTCCTTTTATAATATAAATTAAATGAATCAATGATCTCAGTGGCACTAAAAAGATAAATATATATAAAAAAAAAAAAAAACAGGACTTAAATCAGAACACCACATGGAGTCAATTTATTGCTACTAAAGAACAAAATTCAAAACTTAAAAGCTGAAAAAACGTAATTTCATGCAGTAAAAAAAAAAAGCGCAGCATAAAGAAAAAAACTGTGCACTTCGTACGCCAATGATTAGCTCAAAAACGCTTTTTTTTTTTTAATGTTAAAAATAAATATTTAGAAAAAAGAGCTGTTGGTTAAATTGTTAGTTAGTAAAAGCCATTTCTAATGAAAAAAACCCTCAATTCTTCCAAAATATCCTCTTTCTCAAAAAAAAAAAAAAAAAAAAAGAGAAGAAAATGATTAGTTTAATACCTCCTTTTATGCATCAGCAATTTTTATTGTATAATCAAAATCATTTCGATATCGTATTATTTTCTTTGTAAATTAGCTTGCCAATTAATTGTCCCAATTCCTCAAGAGACCGAAGCACTTTCCACATACTACATATTTTCATATTGTATATCCAAATATATTTACAAATAAATATGCATATTTAATGATTAGAGACATACACATTAAACAAAAAGTGAATAAAGCAACAACTGGTGACAACATTAAAAACATAATAATAATAAATAAATAATTTTAGCGAAGGTCTAGCATAAAATAAAATTTTTCCAACATTGGGCAATTTGAAGTCATGAAGATAAAGGAAAAAGTTCGAAGAAAAAAAATTAATCTTTAAACATGAGCAATTGAAACTGGAATATCCAGTGAGTTACTTTTACCAATCCTCGAACCACTAGATGGTCGCCATCGTTGTACCAATGGTACTTTCTCGAACTGACTGCTAACTAAAGATGCTATAGGTTGTGTTGCAATCATCTGTTGTTGTTGCTCACTAAGTATCATAGCATTTGTAGCTAATTCATGACCATTCTCTGTTGCTGTTGGCATTGTTGATGCTGTTGTTAACGGAATGTTATATTCAGTAGGATTACCAAGCTTAATTGGTGTTGGTCGTTTTGATGATGGTGTAGAGGACTGTTGTGAATGATAGGATGGATATGATGATTGTGGAGCATTAGTACGTTGCATTAATTTTACCAATGCAACACGTGTTTGACTTGGTAATGGTCCACCACATGAAGCAGCACGTGGAGCATTAATTCTGGATAATGATAAATAGGACCATCCAGCACCAACTACACCACGCATCGAGTTACAGGATTGCGTACTGGCAATAGAACGCTTCTCCTCGAACTCGTCCAACGATAATCGAAATGCTTTCACAACGCGAAGCTGCAGAAAAGAAAAGCATTTTGCAAAAAAAAGAAAAAAAAAAAAAAAAAAAAAAGAAAGAACAAAATAAACGAAACAGAAAAATAAAAGATTCTAATACTAATTAGGAAGCGAAACTTATTCAACAAATGACCCTATCAATTAAAATATGCTTTAAAAAAAAAAGAAAAAAAAACCACTAGCAGTAAGTCAATATATCAATGACAACATCATTCAATTATTTCTATTTTTATATCTAATCTGCTACTAAACACCCATTTCAGAAATTAATCCAAATTTCGGAATACCACCATAAATGCATAAACTTCAGAACTGTCAAATTTTCTACTCATGAAGAAGCTGAACAAACAATCAGTACACGAATTTTGGTCATAATTTCAAAGCAAAAACATTTTAAATAGAAGAAAAAGTTGGAATGGAAATTAAAATTGATAAAAAGTTTATGATCTAATTTAAATATCAATAAAGAAAAAAAAGACAAACATATATATATATATATATATATGCTAAATGTTTTTGCTTTGAAATATATATATATATATATATATATATATATATATATATATATATATATATATATATATATATATATATGATATGATATGATAAATAGCTAAATTTAACTAAATGAATCAGCAATCACTTCTTTTATTATGACTAAAATGATAATAAGCAATGATGATAAGATATTATTAGGAGACTGAACCTTCCCAACAATTTACATACAAGAAAAAGAGTTGTCATTGATCAATGGCTTACTGATTTGAAGCATTTCATTTCTGATAGATAAGTATAATAAAACAAAAAAACTATTTGTACTCTTGTGTTATCAATAATTATTTAACAATAAATACCCCACTAATATTCTCTAGTATCAATTCAATTGATAGCTGGTTAGATAGCAATGCGTATTATCAATAATATCTGAAACAGCATTTCATACAATCATATTCAAGGATAAAATAATCATGCAATAAATTAGTATATGTTATAAAAAGTGCACAGCAAACATTTCACACTAAATGTCATCCAATTCATCTTATCAAAAAATTTTTTAAAACAAATAATATTCCTAATTATAACTTTTTAAATTTTTTATCCAAAATAACAAGCCATTCAAGATTGAAAGTTGAAAAATTAAAGCATAATAATTGGCATCTTGAATTAGAAAATTATTAGGAAAAAAGAAAAAAAAAAAAGAAAAGCAGAATGCTTTAAAATAAACATGCAGAAAGAGTAGCAGTATTGAAGGAGTATTGACAGCGTAGTAAAAAATAAAAAAAACACACAAAAATTAAGAAAGACAAAATAT